TGATCTCCTGGAGGATTTAGAGAGGAGTCCCCACGCTGCGGCCATCGCTGAGTGCTTCGTGGAGAGGGTGAGGACTGTGTGTGTGTGTGTGTGTGTGTGTGTGAGGGTGTGTGTGAGGGTGTGTGTGAGGGTGTGTGTGTGTGTGTGTGTGTGTGTGTGGTGTGTGTGTGAGAGGGTGTGTGTGTGAGTGTGTGTGTGTGTGTGTGTGTGAGGGTGTGTGTGTGTGTGTGTGTGTGTGTGCATGTGTGAGGGTGTGTGTGAGTGTGTGTGTGGGTGTGAGTGTGTGTGTGTGTGTGTGTGTGTGTGTGTGTGTGTGAGGGTATGTGTGTGTGTGTGAGGGTGTGTGTGTGTGTGTGTGTGTGTGTGTGTGTGTGTGTGTGTGTGAGGGTGTGTGTGTGTGTGTGTGAGGGTGTGTGTGTGTGTGTGTGTGTGTGTGGGAGAGAGTTGACAGGAAACATGACACAGTTAACCCCAAACACCCAGTAAAGCAGCAGAACTGGACCCTCTGTTCACTACACACGCACACACACACACACACACACACACACACACACACACACAAACACACACACACACACACATTTACACACACCAGCTGCTGCTGATCAAACCAACACCCCATGAATACATGTGTGTGTGTGTGTGTGTGTGTGTGTGTGTGTGTGTGTGTGTGTGTGTGTGTGTGTGTGAGTGTGTGTGTGTGTGTGTGTGTGTGTGTGTGTGTGTGTGTGAGAGCAGCAGCAGAGTTGTTTCTACAGTGAGATATGTTAACAGCTTCTGATCTCATCGAGCTGAAAGAGAAACTTAGACTTTAATTCATGAAGACTTTCATCTCACATGACATGTCACGCTGAATCCTAAAATATGAGAGAAGTGAGAAAGACAAATGAGAAAACTCTTGAAGAATATAATTAAAAGGAGGCCAAGTTCAGCATCACATGGTAAAGACTTTGCTCTCTAGCGCCTCCTTCTGGACAGACGTTACAGTTTTAACTGTTTAAAGCTCAGATAGTGAAGCTTCATCGGGGGTCGGGGGTCATATCGGGCAAATAGAATAACATTCTCTTTGTGTTGCTTAATATGATTTTCTGTCGTTTCCTGTACCAAATACAGATGTGCAATTGTCCCATGAGGATTTAAAACTCTGTGCAGGATGTTCCTAACGTCAGTGACGCTCAGATCTAAACCTTTCTAAACGGAAGTCAGCAGTGTTCTGAGGATGCATCCATTAGATGAAACTGTTAGAGAGCAGGGGAGTTATTTCAGGAACACAGAGCCGTCTGTCTCGGGTCTCCTGACTCTCTGAGGGGAGAAGAATAAAGATTACTCCTCTGTCTCGGGTCTCCTGACTCACTGAGGGGAGAAGAATACATCAATAAACAACCTGGACTTTAATTCAGACTCGTACTGCACAGAGCCGGGAAATACAGAGCAGTTATCTTAAAGGGGACCTATCATGCAAAATGCACTTGTGTACGTCTTTTCTACATGAATATGTGTCCCCGGTGTTCCAGGGAACTCACCAAGTGTCAGAAAACACAACCCTCTCTATTTTCCTCCATACCCAAATCTCTAAAAAAGGGGCAGCAACGGATCTGATAAAAACTGATCCAGATTTGAACATTGTCCTGACGTCAGGACGGTGGCGCTACGGCTATTGGGCCAACTCCACCAATCAGGAGGAGACAGCCACGGCCATTGCCGTTCGAAAGCGCTGGAGACGCTGTAGTACATATGCCAGGCCTGTAGATGGTGCTGTTCTCACAGAATCAGCCCTTGCATAAACAGATCTAAAAAATGTCAAATTGAGCGAAATGAGGCATGGCTAAAATGCATGATCTGTTTGGTATTTTGAAGAAAAAAAAGTATAAATATGCCTTATATAGGTATGGTCCTACACTATATTATTAAAATATAGCATGATAGGTCCACTTTAAAGAATAAATAAAAATAACAGATATGTTTTTAAAGCAAACGTGTGATATATAGATAGATAGGTAAATAGTCCTCCTAAGCCTATACTGTATATATTGTTAATAATGATTTTATTTATACATTTATACTTATCTTAAGTTTGTGTTAGCACTCATTTTAATATTTTTATTTTGTGGTTTTGTACTTTTGCATATTGTTTCTTCACTTTTAAATATCTTTTATGGATATATATTTGAAATGTATTAAGTACAAAAATAAATGGTAAATTAAAAGAATGAAGTAGTATTAAAAGAAAAACATCAATATATTATATCCAGAATACACAATATAATACATGAAGAGTAAATAAGTGAATTCATTATTTTATAACAGATATGGACCCATGTGTCTTTGATACATTTGAATTAAATGTTAACAAAAAGTCTGAATATATACGAACATATACACATTTTTTGTGTAAATAATATATCATATATAATATATATATATATTGTCATACTGCGTCTCTTCTCCCATGAAGTGTTATATTACATTATGATAGAAGATGTATCGTCTGTCCTCTTTGTTTTTCAGAGTGAAACCTTCGACATCTACACCCTGTACTGCATGAACTACCCAAAGTAAGTTCAATGTAATTCAATCAGTGTGATGAACTAACGCTCTGCTCCCTGCGCCGCATTACTCTCAGGATCTGGAGGAAGTACTCGGGGTTCCCCTTTTTGTTTTTATATATTTATTTTTAAGTGAAGTCTTGAGCTCTTCCATTAAAGGATCACACACTCGTCCGTCCTGCAGCGTGACTCACATCCGGGCCTTTACATATTTAAAATACACCGGAGAGTTTGACAGGAGAAGGACGGAAAGAACGTGGATGACATCACAACCAGATATAAGACAAAAGATATTTAGAACAAACATGCTACTCAAGTAAAAGTAGAAGTACTCAGATCTTGTACTTGAGTAAAAGTAGAAGTACTCAGATCTTGTAGTAAAAGTAGAAGTACTCAGGTCTTGTACTTGAGTAAAAGTAGAAGTACTCAGGTCTTGTAGTAAAAGTAGAAGTACTCAGATCTTGTACTTGAGTAAAAGTAGAAGTACTCAGGTCTTGTACTTGAGTAAAAGTAGAAGTACTCAGATATTGTACTTGAGTAAAAGTAGAAGTACTCAGATCTTGTACTTGAGTAAAAGTAGAAGTACTCAGATCTTGCACTTGAGTAAAAAGAGAAGTACTCAGATCTTGTACTTGAGTAAAAGTAGAAGTACTCAGATCTTGCACTTGAGTAAAAAGAGAAGTACTCAGATCTTGTACTTGAGTAAAAGTAGAAGTACTCAGATCTTGTACTTGAGTAAAAGTAGAAGTACTCAGATCTTGTACTTGAGTAAAAGTAGAAGTACTCAGATATTGTACTTGAGTAAAAGTAGAAGTACTCAGATCTTGTACTTGAGTAAAAGTAGAAGTACTCAGGTCTTGTAGTAAAAGTAGAAGTACTCAGATCTTGTACTTGAGTAAAAGTAGAAGTACTCAGGTCTTGTACTTGAGTAAAAGTAGAAGTACTCAGATATTGTACTTGAGTAAAAGTAGAAGTACTCAGATCTTGTACTTGAGTAAAAGTAGAAGTACTCAGATCTTGCACTTGAGTAAAAAGAGAAGTACTCAGATCTTGTACTTGAGTAAAAGTAGAAGTACTCAGATCTTGCACTTGAGTAAAAAGAGAAGTACTCAGATCTTGTACTTGAGTAAAAGTAGAAGTACTCAGATCTTGTACTTGAGTAAAAGTAGAAGTACTCAGATCTTGTACTTGAGTAAAAGTAGAAGTACTCAGATCTTGTACTTGAGTAAAAGTAGAAGTACTCAGATCTTGTACTTGAGTAAAAGTAGAAGTACTCAGATCTTGTACTTGAGTAAAAGTAGAAGTACCAGAGTGTAGGAATACTCTGTTACAGTAAAAGTACTGCATTCAAAATGTTCCTCAAGTGAAAGTAGAAAAGTATTCTCATCAAAATATAGTGAAAGTAGCGACAGTAAAAGTAGTGATTGTGCAGATTGGTCCATTTCAGAATAATATATATGATATGTTTTATAATGATTGATCATGAAAGTGTTCTCAAAGCTGGTAAAGGTGCAGCTAGTTTGACATTATTATTATTATCCTATTGTAAGAAAATCAAGTAGAAAAACAGCTAAAGATTTCACAAGTTTGGCTGCGTTTCGAGCAAATCATGCAATTATTGTACGCATACTTTAACAGCTTCAACATGTGCTCGTTATTATCCGTCTAATCAATGAACCTCCGATTATAAGAGCAGAATCAAAGACTTCTAATAAACGTAGAAAACTAATCTGTAAAGTAACTAAATAAATGCGTTTAGTAAAAGTACAAAGTAGCATCAAATGGAAATTAAAAAGTAAAGTACAAGTACCTGAGGACAGTACTTGAGTCACAATAAAACACTCTATTTCCCCCATTCACAATATCTGTTATGAAAAGGCAATATTCAATATACAGTAGGCTCTAAATGTACTTAGTTACTTTACACCACTGTTCAATCACCGTATAATAATGAGAGTTATTCTAAATGCACATGAGACAGTGATGTGATCTGGATCTGCTGGTTTTCTAAACTGGAGTCCTGCGTTAAAAGACAAATACCCAGAGATGGCAAAAGTACACACATCCTTTACTCAAGTAGAAGTACAGATACTCGTGTTTAAAAATACTCTGGTGAAAGTAGAAGTACTGACTAAACTTCTTCACTCAAGTCAAAGTAAAGAGGGCTTTGAAATGTACTTCAGTAAAAAGTACCCATAACTAGCAGCTGTTTTAAAGAGTACCTGACCTCCCTTTATATTAATAGAACAATAATGTCATTGTTAGCTAATGAATGTTTCCATGCTGAACAACGGCAACATGACAACGTTTTCATTGGTCCCTCTTCTTTAGAGAAGACCAGGAAATGATGGATACACGGATCGTGTTCAAATCAATAGGCACGCAATGACTCTAAATAATAATGATCACGCCACCAAACACACATTCAAACTAAAGGAACCAGCCTGTTTGGGAAATGTGAGAAGTAGAAAGTACAGGTATTTGTGTTCAACATGTAAGAAGTAGAAAGTACAGGTATTTGGGTTCAACATGTAAGAAGTAGAAAGTTCAGGTATTTGGGTTCAACATGTAAGAAGTAGAAAGTACAGGTATTTGTGTTCAACATGTAAGAAGTAGAAAGTACAGGTATTTGGGTTCAACATGTAAGAAGTAGAAAGTACAGGTATTTGTGTTCAAAATGTAAGAAGTAGAAAGTACAGGTATTTGTGTTCAACATGTAAGAAGTAGAAAGTTCAGGTATTTGTGTTCAAAATGTAAGAAGTAGAAAGTACAGGTATTTGTGTTCAAAATGTGAGAAGTAGAAAGTACAGGTATTTGTGTTCAAAATGTAAGAAGTAGAAAGTACAGGTATTTGGGTTCAAAATGTAAGAAGTAGAAAGTTCAGGTATTTGGGTTCAACATGTAAGAAGTAGAAAGTTCAAGTATTTGAGTTCAACATGTAAGAAGTAGAAAGTAAGAAGTTGTTAGAAAAATAAGTAGTGGAGTAAAGTACTGATACCAGAAACATGTACTTAAGTACAGTAACGAAGTATTTGTACTCCACTACTTCCCACCTCTGATAATAACCAGAATGAGTCGAGCTTCTCTCCAGCAGCAGAAAGTAGAGAGACGTTTCTCCTGCAGGAACACGGAGATCTGAATCAGCGTAAAGCTTGGAGACATTAAAACGACATTAGCAGACGGGATGTGATGTCAGGTCCAGATGCTCACATAATTGATGCTGCTAAACTCCACGTGGATGTTTGTAATGCTGTAAATTGATGATCTGTAGAGCCTCTGGAGAAAGATTTCTAACAGAGCAGGAACTAGTCCAGAAACGATCACCATCCAACACACATCAGAGAGGAAGTGCAGGTTATTGGGTTTAGATCCTTTGTGAGGAGTGTGTCGGGCTGTCTGACCGTCACAGAAATGATAGTTTTGGGTCATCGTGCGCATATTAAAGCTGAGCAAATAAAGAATGTGTTGTTGTTGGCGTGTAAGAAAGAGTAGTGCTATATATGAAGGGCTTTAGACACGATATAAAGCAGGATATTATTCACATTAAGATTGTAGGGAATGGAATTGAATATTTACTTGCAGAATTCCTCATTATTGGACCGAAACGTGCCGTTTTAAATTCTAAACATGGAAGTGATTAAGCACAAATGGAGCATATGCGGCATTTTGTATTGAGTCTGGTTGGGATTAAAAATAATGAAAAGTAACATCCACAATTCGCTGAGGGACGTGTACGAAAATACAAAAGGGACATAAGTGTACCTGCAGAATTCCTTTTCATTGGACCGAAATTGGCCGGTTTAAATAAGTGAATAAGCACAATGGATCCAACGTGGCATTTTGTTTTGGTTGGAAAACAGTGTGGCAGTTGCAATGAAAAAAAAGTGCAAATATAACAAATTGTGTCAGGACAGCTGAGCCAAAAGGATCCCTTTACACATCCAGTGCATTGCAATCTCCATTTTGAGACGGTTTTGATGTAAGAAAACATATTTATTGCCAGGAATACACAAATGAATGTAATGGAGTTTTGGCGATTAGGCCCCGTTGTGCAGGAGTATCATTTGGGAGGGGAGAACCGATCCAATGAAACCCCCCGGGGTCTAGACACTGGTGGTGGTGAATGGGTAGTTGGGTTCGGTCTGAAGGGGAGTGGCTTAGCTTGACCCTGGTGGTGGTGAATGGATAGTTGGGGTCGGGCTGAAGGGGAGTGGCTTAGCTTGACCCTGGTGGTGGTGAATGGATAGTTGGGTTCGGTCTGAAGGGGAGTGGCTTAGCTTGACCCTGGTGGTGGTGAATGGATAGTTGGGGTCGGTCTGAAGGGGAGGGGCTTAGCTTGACCCCGGATTCAGAGGGACAGGAGGTGCAAAGGGGTGGAGGAGGGTTGCGTCGAGTCACCTGAAATGACAGATGACAGAGGGGGGAGAGCAGATTTAAAAGGATTAGCGGAGCGCTATGATAGGCTTGAGAGAATAGAGCGAAGTGATTGGTTAAGCTGGGGAGTAACGCCCCCGATCACTTATTGAGAAGAGGAGAGAGAGTAGTAACATAGACATAGGAAATGAATGAGTAAAGACGGTCTTCCTGGTTGAACTTGCGCTGAGCTTCATTTCTTAAAAACACTTAAATTGCACCTGGTCCTATGCATGATACAAATATGATGCTACTGTCATATCCATATCAAAACAACTCAACTAAAATCCTCATCTTATCCAGTCTTTTGTATCTCTTTTTAAGTCATAAAGGACTCATCTAACGTACAGTATGCTGTGTTCACGACCAGATGGGTCAGAAGAACCAAAGCCAAAAATGTCAAATAAAAAAGCTTTGTTATCGTGATCATTGATGGAAAACAACGGCAGATGTCAAGAACTTACAGAATGTGATTTTCAGGAGGAAAGACACTGAAATAAAGCATTGGGAGAAAACGTGTTCAGCATCAAGTCGTTATTACAAGACATTTATTGCAATCTGTTATCAAGATTGAACCACAAATGTTCCCATTGAAGAAAAAAATATACTCTCTTTTGTGTCACTTCATGAGCTTTTAAAATAGTTGGATCGCTATCTAAAAGAAAATTGGATAAATTCATCCATGAAGCATTTAATTTGGATTAAAATCTGATTGCTTGAACAGTTTGAAGGTTTGAGGCTCATTCTTCACAGATGTTGAATAAGATCCAACACACAGAGGATCAAACGGAGACGTTTCCTGTTTCGAGCAACATGCAACTTGTTAAAAGAAATCTTTCACAAATCTGGAGCAGCAAAGTTGTATTTGTTTTGGAACCAGACGGAGATACTTCTACTGCAATGAGACCCTTTTTTAGGGGGGAAATGGGAATATATGGCATGACATGATGGGGATCTGTTGTTGTTTGCATGTTCCTGTGAAGCACTAAAACACAACTTGGATATCTGAAAAGAGTCAGAATATTTGTTTTATTGTTTTTCCTTTATTATATAGTATTTTCAGGAAAAGTACAAATGATGTGATTTGAAGAATAAAGTCAGAATTTTAAGAAAAAAATCTGAATATTAATATTTCAAGGAAAAAATCTATTTTGGAAGATTTTGAGGAAAATGATTTTTCTTTGATATTTTTAGAAAAAAAGTCATAATTTTGAGATTTTGCTAAAAAAAACTCAAATGTTGAGAATTAAAAAAACAAACATTATTTGCCATTTTGAGAAAAAGTCCTATAACTTTTTCTTTGAAATATCAATATTCTGAATTTTTTCTCAACATTCTGACATTTCTGACTTTTTCTCAAAATGTCAACATTCTGACTTCATTTTTAACTTATCATTTTTTTTGTGACTTTTTTCTGAAAATGTTGACTTGATTCTGAAAATCTCAAAACCCAAACAAGACCTCATTAAAATGGCTCTTACGGGCCGTCTCCACAGCAGCGTTAAAAAATCTTGAAACGCTTCTGCCCATTCACTTTGAATGGGGTGACGTCACTTTCCCTCACTTTTCGCCGAAATGCATTGTGGGCAGGCGAGCGGAGATTCTCAGGATTTTCAAGATTCAAAGTTGAACAATGTTCAACTTTTGAAGCTGAGGTGGAAGCGGCAGCCAATCAAATCCCGTGTACGCAAATCTGGCAGTTCAAGCTCTAGCCAATCAAACGGCGTGTATGCTGGGAGAGGCATACCGCAGGTCATTTCCTCATATTCCAAAAAATGGAGGAGAAATTAGCGGTAGGGAATCACCCGGTGCTTTATGACCAGTCCCTATTTAACTACCGGGATACAAACCGGAGGAGCCAGGCATGGAGGGAGGTGGCAGAGACAGTGGTATGTTTTCGCCTGTTTTGGAGAGTTTATATCCAGTTTACTTCGGGCTTTTTGGCTTCGTATGTCGCGGGCGGGAGATTCATGTGATTGGTTGATCGCAAAAAAATCCCCAAGCCTCAGATACGCCCACCTCCAAGATTTTTTTAACGCTGCTGTGGAGACGGTCCGTTACTGTTAAAGTTGTAAGACGACAACACTGACAACACTGCGGTAGCGACCTGTCAATCACTGTTAGCCCCGCCCTAAAGCACACATTACTTTAACCTCTATTTCCCTCTAAATGGGACTATTATTTATTAAATCAACATGTTGCTGTATTAAGAAGAGTTGAGACCATGGATTGAAACCTTCAGTCAAGAAACAAATCAGTCAAAGGTTTGCAAAGGTAATAAATCCAGTAAGTAATTGTCTCAGAGACTTCTATTCATTCAGCCCACTGCTTGATATTAGAGAGAATGCAAGTTTGATGCACTTCATTTATTCAGTTTTCATGCACAAAGGTTTTAGCAGTAACAGAAAGTCATTTAAGAACAAATATTTCCCACAAAGGTTCAGCATGCAGTGTGAGCACCAATGGCTTCAGTGAAGTGTTGAAAGAAGCAATAACATACAGTGTTTTGGAAAGGTCTTTTTGCAAAGGCAGAATGAAGGGGAAGATTAGAGGAAGTTAAAGTGTTCTTCTAAGGTCTCCTCTGATTGGTGGAGAAGGATCCTCTGGAGCAGCTGTAAGTATCCTCAGTCTTTAGACAAACCATCTCCAAAGTGTAAAAACAGAGAGAGCCCACGAGGGGAATAGATAACACCGAGGAGAGCGAAGTGGACTTTTCTGCGGATGATTTGATGGGAATCTTTCCAAGCTTAGTTTCGAGGAATGTCTCTAGTGTATGTTTTTCACATCGGACATACGCTTCAGATTCTCCGTCTGCATTTATCCCCGACTGAAGCCAGTTTCCTTCAGTTCGTCTAGAATCAGCTTCTCTGCTCTGGTTTCTATGAATGCAAATCGTTTTGTCTTTGGTTTGGGCATCCGTCTCCTTGCACTTTATTATAAGATAAGATTCAAGGCTTGTATTGCCATGTGTACATAGCTGCATAAATATGTTAAAATAAATGATAAGTGTTTTTAAGAATAAAGTCAGGATTTTGAGAAAAAGTCAGAATTGTAAGAAAACATATTGATATTTCAAGGAAAAAGTCAATTTCTTTAGATTTCTCGAAAAAAGGCTACCTTGGCCTCCTTTCCTCCTCTCTCCTCTCATCCCCCATTGCTACCTTGGCCTCCTTTCCTCCTCTCTCCTCTCATCCCCCATTGCTACCTTGGCCTCCTTCCTTCCTCTTTCCTTCCTCTCTCCTCTCTCCTCTCATCCCCATTGCTACCTTGGCCTCCTTTCCTTCCTCTTTCCTCTCTACCCCATTGCTACCTTGGCCTCCTTTCCTCCTCTCTCCTCTCATCCCCCATTGCTACCTTGGCCTCCTTCCTTCCTCTTTCCTTCCTCTCTCCTCTCTACCCCCATCGCTACCTTGGCCTCCTTCTCTCCTCCCCCCTTTTCCTTCCCTCTCACCGGTGCTGTCCAACATTTTCCTGTTGACAGAGATTCATCACAGCATGACTCATTCATCTTCTTCCCTCACCTCCTTTCTCCTCTCATGTCTCCTATAATCCCCTGGACATCTTGTCTCCTTCCTCCTCAGCTCCTTCCTCCTCTCATGTCTCATTGAATCCCCTGGACATCTTGTCTCCTTCCTCCTCACCTCCTTTCTTTCAAATGTTTTCACTGGACGTTTTACAATTCATAATAACCATCATTAATAATTGGTCAATTGATATTTCATTTGGTTCCTCTCTTTGTTTAAATGGTGATGAATGGATGTGGTTTTGGCTCGTCAATGTTTGTTGGAGCTCCAAACACATGTGGACTTCTTCTTCTTCTTCTTCTTCCCTTTCCTAACCTCCTTCCTCCTCACTTTCTCCCTCTCCCTTTCTTCCATCCCTCCTCCTTTGTTTTCAGACTTGAGGAGTTCCACCATGTTCCTCTTCTTCCTCACTTCCACCATTTTGTATTACATGTGTTTGTGTTTGGAAATAACTTTTTGTAAAGTCTCTTAAAGTTTTATTTTTGTAAAGGAAATATGACTGTTTTGCATTTTTTGAAATGGTCTGAATTGTATAAATGTACCGGTCCGAGTATCGGCAATGTTGATTTTTAAGATATTTTAAATAAACCTCCCTCTCTCTCCCCCTCTCTCTCCCCTCTCTCCCCCCCTCTCCCCCCCTCTCTCTCTCTCTCTCTCTCTCTCTCTCTCTCTCTCTCTCTCTCTCTCTCTCTCTCTCTCTCTCTCTCTCTCTCTCTCTCTCTCCCAGCTGTGTGTCGGTGCTGAGGGACTGCATGAAGACCAAGAGTCTGGTGAGCTTCTTCCAGGAGAGACAGAGCACTCTGAGCCACTCTTTACCTCTGGAGACGTACCTGCTGAAGCCCGTGCAGAGGATCCTCAAGTACCACCTGTTACTGCAGGTAATACTCTCTAAATACTGCATTAATACGGCAGGTAATACTCTCTAAATACTGCATTTATACTGCATTAATACTCTCTAAATACTGCATTTATACTGCATTAATACTCTCTAAATACTGCATTTATACTGCATTCATACTTTAAATACTACCTGCTGAAACCAGTGCAGAGGATCCTCAAATACCACCTGTTACTGCAGGTAATGATGCAAATACTTCCAAATACTACATGTATTCCCTCATATACCACCTGATGCTACAGATATCACCTCTAAAAATACAAAATATTAGTGTAGTATCTCAAATAATCCCTGATACTACAGCTCCAAATACTACATGAAGTACCTCAAATACCACCTGCTTCTAGAGGTAATAGTCCAAATACTTTAAAGGGGACCTATCATGCAAAATGCACTTTTGTACGTCTTTTCTACATGAATATGTGTCCCCGGTGTTCCAGGGAACTCACCAAGTGTCAGAAAACACAACCCTCTCTATTTTCCTCCATACCCAAATCTCTAAAAAAGGGGCTGCAACGGATCTGATAAAAACTGATCCAGATTTGAACACTGTCCTGACGTCAGGACGGTGGCGCTACGGCTATTGGGACAACTCCACCAATCAGGAGAAGACAGCCACGGCCATTGCCGTTCCAAAGCGCTGGAGACGCTGTAGTACATATGCCAGGCCAGTAGATGGTGCTGTTCTCACTGAATCTGCCCTTGCAAAAACAGGGCTAAAAAAAGTGCAAATTGAGCGAAATGAGGCATGGCTAAAATGCATGATCTGTTTGGTGTTTTGAAAAACAAAAAGTATAAATATGCCTTATATAGGTATGGTCCTACACTATATTATTCAAATATAGCATGATAGGTCCACTTTAAGTTAAAGATTAAAGATATTATTTGAGGATTTATTTTTCTCTTTAGGGTTATGTGTCATCAAATATGCCGAAATAAAAAAAACAACAGAAGCTTTTAATTTAAAAAGAGTTATATGCATATTTTGCCAGCAAATCCCAACTTTACATGACATTAGAAACATATATGCAAGAATCAAATTAAGATTAAAATTATAGTGTAAATAATTATGCATCTCCTAACTTCTACCTCAGACCTTTACTTTACTTCGTACATCTGAAGATATTCAGCTGACTCATCCATAAAACACCAGAACACACACAGCTTCTACCAATGAACGGATTTACTGGTTCCTGTCCAAGCCCACCTCTGAGACACACACACACACACACACACACACACACACACACACACACACACACACACACACACACACACACACACACACACACACACATTTGTTGCTCTGTCTACAGTGGCCAGATCAAACACTGGTGCTACATCTGTTTGGAGCTGAGCGGGGCTTTTCCCATAATCCTCAGCTGTTCCTGCTTCACTGTCTCTGTGATGAAGTGCTGTGTCAGCTGCTGGGTTGTTTTGTTTGGATCATTATTTATTTGTGATCACTGTTCTTTCAAGGACATTATTACACCGCTTCGAGGAATACTCGCTTCTGATTGGTCAACTTGCACATCTGTCAGTCAGTTATCTCTGTATATCAGACTGTTGCTAACGCTCTGATTCAATGTCCATTTAACTTCAGTTATGGCCTAAAAACACATTCGTTTTTCCATTACTCCATCAGAAAACACCATGCAGTACTTTGTAATACTTATTTAAACTATAATTGGAGACTTTTGCCCTATTATTTGCATACTTTATTAACTGGGAGTAAACGTAATGCCTTTCCAGAGACCTTTATCTAATTTAATGTCCAGGAAGCTATTAGGAAGATATGGAAACTACAGTAAGTTTTCTATTTTCAGATGTTTACATTTCAGAATTGTTCATTTCTACGCTTTTAATTTCTACTTATGTGCAATGCCTTGTTTTTTGTGCTACTGCAACGCCAAAAAATCCCAAATTGGGACCAATAAAGTACATCTTATCTGATAATATCTTATCTTATCGTACCAGATAGTAGCTACATTTGTATTAATTGAAAAATATAGAAAATGATTTGGTTACTGTATGTTGGTTTGAAAGTACAAAGTCCCAGGAGCATTTGGTCAAATAGATAAATTGTGATTTAAAGGGCAGAAAAGCCTCAATCTGTGCTGCCGTCATTTTAAGTTGGGTCACTATTGTGCAGTTCAATCATACATTAAGGGCAGTGTTGGAGCTATATCTTGATTTATATTATTTAACAGTTATTTTCTTGCTGTTTTGTTGATAGTACATGTATTATTATGTAGTGTTATTATTTAAGTTAAAGGGGACCTACCATGCAAAATGCACTTTTGTACGTCTTTTCTACATGAATATGTGTCCCCGGTGTTCCAGGGAACTCACCAAGTGTCAGAAAACACAACCCTCTCTATTTTCCTCCATACCCAAATCTCTAAAAAAGGGGCTGCAACGGATCTGATAAAAACTGATCCAGATTTGAACACTGTCCTGACGTCAGGACGGTGGCGCTACGGCTATTGGGCCAACTCCACCAATCAGGAGGAGACAGCCATGGCCATTGCCGTTCGAAAGCGCTGGAGACGCTGTAGTACATATGCCAGGCCTCTAGATGGTGCTGTTCTCACTGAATCAGCCCTTGCTAAAACAGATCTAAAAAATGTCAAATTGAGCAAAATGAGGCATGGCTAAAATGCATGATCTGTTTGGTATTTTGAAAAAAAATAAGTATAAATATGCCTTATATAGGTATGGTCCTACACTATATTATTCAAATATAGCATGATACAGTAGGTCCACTTTAATTAAACTAGTTCTATGCTTTTATCTATGCATATTCGTAAAATAGGCCCTCAGTTAATGTCGCCACCTAGAACGCTGCCCTTATAGGTGCGATATGTATGAAATGTGTTGGGTGTATGAAGCATTTGGAGACGAGAAAAAAAGTCAATTGGAGCAGAACCATAAACACAACAGGAAATCAGATATTTAGAATTTTCACAACAACAAACACCTCCCATAGATTTTCATCTGATCATCTTTTCAGAGCGTTGGTGCTTTAGTGCTTTTAAACACACATTCAAACTAAAGTAACCAGCCTGTTTGGAAAATGTAAGAAGTAGAAAGTACAGGTATTTGGGTTCAACATGTAAGAAGTAGAAAGTACAGGTATTTGGGTTCAACATGTAAGAAGTAGAAAGTACAGGTATTTGTGTTAAAAATGTAAGAAGTAGAAAGTACAGGTATTTGAGTTCAACATGTAAGAAGTAGAAAGTACAGGTATTTGTGTTCAAAATGTAAGAAGTAGAAAGTACAGGTATTTGTGTTCAAAATGTAAGAAGTAGAAAGTACAGGTATTTGTGTTCAACATGTAAGAAGTAGAAAGTACAGGTATTTGTGTTAAAAATGTAAGAAGTAGAAAGTACAGGTATTTGAGTTCAACATGTAAGAAGTAGAAAGTACAGGTATTTGTGTTCAAAATGTAAGAAGTAGAAAGTACAGGTATTTGGGTTCAACATGTAAGAAGTAGAAAGTACAGGTATTTGAGTTCAACATGTAAGAAGTAGAAAGTTCAGGTATTTGTGTTCAAAATGTAAGAAGTAGAAAGTACAGGTATTTGTGTTCAAAATGTAAGAAGTAAAAAGTGGTCAGAAAAATAAGTAGTGGAGTAAAGTACTGATACCAGAATGATGTACTTAAGTACAGTAACGAAGTATTTGTACTCCACTACTTCCCACCTCTGATTATACCCTCAAGTTGCTCTCATGTCTCCTCAGGAACTTTCTAAGCACTTTGATAAGAGCGACCCGGGGTATGAGGTCATCGAAGACGCCATCATCACCATGACGGCGGTCGCCTGGTACATCAACGACATGAAAAGGAAGCAGGAGCACGCAGTCCGACTGCAGGTGAGAGAGTAATGTACAAGATGAGATTTAATACCTGAAAACAACCTCTGTGATCGTTGTAAGGGAATCGTTTTTGCATTCAGGTTACTATATGTTGGGCAATTACATTAATCTGGTTATTTGACAAGTAGGTTTTCACTTTGAAGGCATTTGCTTTGTGGCATTGGTGCGTAACTAATCAGACATGAATATAGAAAAAGAACAATTGAAAGTTGGCAGGAATGTTCTAAATATATTCTAGGGGATGTGCAGAAGTTCACAGTATTAAGAATAAAATAATATGCAACACACAGATATAATTATATCACCAATTTTCCAAAGACACACAGTGGTAACTTTTCACTCTTTTGCAAAAAATAAGAAATGTTTATTATATTATATATATATTTATATAGCATTGGCTAGCTACACTTTAAAACGTAATAGAATCTCAATATTATTTTTATTTTTACGATGTAAATAATTGTTATCACTCTCACAAATACAAACTGTAGAGGACCTCGAATGGTACCCTGAGGAACGCCTAAAAACGTTTTTTAATGGATATTTTCTCGAAAGATAAACATTTTTGAATTTTTACAGTATATAAAGACAACAAATACATGACCATTCATATTTTAATGTATTTATATATTCAATGTTTTGCTTCAAAATAGGTTAACAGGATGGATAAATATATGGCTTTAAAGCTGACAAAAAGTTAATTTGAACTTTAGTATGCAAGCATGGATTGGTATACTTGCAGTATTTAGAGTATTACCTGCAGTAACAGGAGGTATTGGAAGTATTAATGTAGTATATATTTGTAGTATTACCTGCAGTAACAGGTGGTACTTGAAGTATTAATGTAGTATTTGCAGTATTACCTGCAGGTAACAGGTGGTACTTGAAGTATTAATGTAGTATTTGCAGTATTACCTGCAGTAACAGGTGGTACTTGAAGTATTAATGTAGTATTTGCAGTATTACCTGCAGTAACAGGTGGTACTTGAAGTATTAATGTAGTATTTGCAGTATTACCTGCAGTAACAGGTGGTATTTGAAGTATTAATCGTGAATGTGATATTGTGTCAAAGTCTTAATATCTAACTGTGTCAGTGTGTCAGCGTAGTTGTTTATTCTCCTTCCTTCATGCAGTGTTATAGTTTGGTATCGTGAAGTCAGCAGTATACTATCAAGATGCAAAGTTATTTATTTTAATACAGTTTCAAGATTACCCTCTCTTCTGTGACTACATCTTCCTCACTAAAGGTTTAAACTTGTGGATCATGAGTCATAAAGAAATCTCCGTGCAGACTAAGTGTCCTCAGAACGTTTTACTGTTCAGACAGCTGGAGGTCAGCCGGCGACCTCTAGGGGTCAAACTGTGTCACCGCTGCATTCCTACACTTCCCCGACACATGTTCACACCATGACTTACACAGGGACATGTTATCAACTTGTTCCGTGTGTGTGTGTGTGTGTGTGTGTGTGTGTGTGTGTGGTGTGTGTGTGTGTGTGTGGTGTGTGTGTGTGTGTGTGTGTGTGTGTGTGTGTGTGTGTGTGTGTGTGTGTGTGTCAGCATCTTCTTGCTGCTAAATTTTGACACTCCTCCTGTCATTTCTGTTTTAGTTTTAGTTCTTTAACTTCTCTTTGAACATTTTTTTACACTTTTTTACCTTAAATTGCAGCTTTATTGTGTTTTCATGTAAAGGCTTTTTAAATGTCCTATCAGGATGTGTTAAGTGTTTTAATTTACACTTTTTATTAACAGGTTGTCCACATCCAAACGGAGCTCTGTTGTTTGCTAGACCTGTCAAAACTTGAGCTTATATCACTAACCGTTTCCAAACTAATATTGGTGATTGTTAGCTGCGTAAATCATGTAAACTAAACTAACGTAAACATATAAACACATCAGACTAAGGCCATGTAGGAGACAGAAAGTGTTTACCTTTTCATAACATTGGTACCAATTGTAACGCTGTATCTTTGCTTATAGAGCATCGGTTTTAAAAGGTCTTCTGAGTGTCATTTAAGTTTCTCCACGGCAAAATTATAACGCAGATTTTGTCTGGTTATTTTTTCCTAGAGATGCTAAAGTAAATATTACACCTTATTATTTTAAAGCCACATATCTTTAGAACAGTCTGACACTAATAAGTCACTTTTAAGACGAAAGACTCAAGAGAAAATTAATTTAGTTTGAGACCAATTCGTCTGATTTGTCTCTCTTGGCACCAAAAACTAAACTATACTAAAATAAATACATCAGACCACCAAGCCCATTTCAACACAGTCTCACGGCATGTCGTGTTATAGTCACGAAATTAATCTATTGATTCGTGTTCACCAACACGATTTCGCCATTTTGTTCGTGTCACACAGAACGATTTTAAAAGCAATGTAAATAATAACAAATTAGAAGGAAAAAGACATTAAAAAAATACAGATTTCAGTATTCTGACACAGAACGATTTTAGAAGCAATGTATTTATATTGGTAGTATGTTTCGTGCCTGCACCAAATAATAACAAATTAGAAGGAAAAAAAGATGACAAAAAATACAGATGTCAGTATTCTGAGGCTCTGAGCCATTTCTTTTCCTCACTGACGGCAAAAAAACTCAGACATTATACAATTTAAAATAAAAGGGATAGGGTTAGGCTTAGGGTAAGATATTGAGTAAGAACATGTTTTTATGAACCACACAGCTTCTGGTCTTCCAAGACCCGACCGGACAAAAAGACGTGTTGCAGACACGAAACATACTACCAATAGAAATACATTGCATTTAAAATCGTTCTGTGTGACACGAAAAAAGGTGAAAATCGTGTTGGTGAACACGAATCAATAGATTAAATTAATTTCGTGACTAATAACACGAAATGCCGTGAGACTGGGTTGCCCATTTAGGAGACAGGAAGTGATTACCTTCATTTCATTTCATTTCAAACCTTTATTTATCCAGGTTGTATCCCATTGAGATCATTGATCTCTTTTTCAAGGGAGACCTGCTAATGATTATGATATTGTCACTAATTGTAATGCTCTATCTTCCCTTGGAGAGCATCTTTTAAATAACTTTTTGTAGAGGTCTTCTCTGTGTCATTTCAGTTTCTCCACGGCTAAATTATAACGCAGATTTTGGTCCAGTTCTTTTGCCCTAGAGATGCTCCAGTAAATATTAGCCCCATTTCAGAAGCCAGGAGGAAATGCACTTTGTTTGTTTGAGACACATTAGTCTTATTTGTCTGTTTTAACAACAACCTCTTGTGAGACAGAGCTCTTATTTTAGCTAAACTGTGTCAAATGTCAATTAACATTTTGCAAAACCCCTGAATAACTCATATTTATAATGCTAAACATGATTGTTAGCCACATAAATATATTTTTTTTACGCCCATTTAGAAGACAGGAAGTGCTACAATCTTCACTTGTAGAGCATCTGTTAAATAACTTTTTAAAGAGGTCTTCTCTCCTGCAGCTGGTTGTCTCTGGGTCAAAGGTCGCGTCCACAGCTGGCCGCTGCCTGTGGCTCCGCAGAGGAATCATTGACAAACAGTTGTGACTATTTTCTGGAAACGCAGAGTCATCCGGGTCGTAGTGTAGGAATAGTTTACGAAGCTGACCTAAGTTTGATTAGGACGACCTTTAACCCTGATGCAGGAAATGCTCAGGTGTTGACCTTTGACCTCCCAGCAGCTGGACCCCTAGGTGAATCGTTCACACAGATGGACGAGGTTTACATAGTTTACAGAGGTTTTTACGGAGGAAATGCGTCCCAGTGTTTCCTGCAAAGAACATATAATACTTATGTTTCCAGGTGACGTACATTTAAGGCAAAAAACTGCTTTCTAGAGTCTCATTTCGTCACGTTTGCATTCAAGAAGCATCAATTTAGCCTTTTTTATTTACAATTTGAGGCGTAAGAACTTCCAAATCTACGTGATTAAACCCAATTCATGTTTCTTCTCCTTATAAATCCAAGATAGTTAAAAGAAAGTGAAGTAATCTGAATGGCGACTGGACGTTTTGTTACCTTTCAGCATCTTCTACATCTCAATCCAAAGGAGTTTACACCTCACTGTGTTTATAGGGAATAATATAACCACACATACAGCTGAAATAAAAAGCTAAAAAACATTTTCTAGCAGTGATCAAAATGATTAGTTGATTGGACAACATTTAGGTGCAGTTAGGGAGAAGTTATTGTTGTTTTACAGTATTTTTAAGTTGTATTGAGACCTACAAATGTTTTCTGAGCGACAATTTGATTTAATTACCATCGTTTCTATTCATAACCTTGAATGTTCATGTAGTAAAACCCTTTTTATTTCACATATGTGCTGTCTCCACCTGACTAAAAGCTAACATAAACCATAAGACTAGTTTCTTAGCCGTGATAATAACTTTTTCTACCCCCAAAAACCTGAACCCCTGATTATTGGACCGATTTTAGGTGCAGTTTATTGACAAGTTTGGCCGTTTTTAGAGCATATGAAGAAATAGTTTTGCTACCCAAGGTTCTCATTAAAACCAGAAACCTTCTCTACCTTTTGAATAAAAACACCTGAAAAATACACGCTAAAACCAATCTATTGGACCATTTTCCAGAGATGATCATATGTTTTGTACCAGAGAAATGTGAACCCTTAGATGATTGGTCCAACTTTAGGTGCAGATCTTGAGGAGTTTGGCCGTTTAAGAACATTTCAAGAATATTTTGCTACTGTAGGTTTTTTTGCTCTGAGCCCAGGATTAGCCGAAAAGAGTCCAGGAAGCCTATTTACAAGTTAACAGCGTTTAATAAAACAATGATACGATGATACAAGGAAATTACAAAATGGTGACTCGGCCGAGTGTGCTCCTCCGCTCACTATCGTTCAAAGTCAAAGTCAACTTTATTGTCAATCTCAAAATATGTTGTACACACAGAAAGATCGAAACACCCACAGTCCCGAGGTATAAAATACACATTAAAATACAAGAACACTCAATAATTACAAAAAATAGAGCGACTTCCTGCTGGCTTCCAATTTTATCCTCTGTCGTCTTCTCCTATTGGCTTAGCGTTGACGGGGGCGGGTCCAAAGCACGTCCTGTCATTTTCTGATGTTAGTTTTACAATATTCTAATATCTGTTGGTCATTTAAACATTCCCTAATAACAGCATTGCAGCATCAATAAGTGAGGGTTAAAGACAGTGTGTTTAGTGGGCAACACCACGTGTCATTTCTCCTTAAATTCACGTACACAAAACATACCATTAGCTACATGCTAATGCTAACACCGTCTGAGCATACAGGAAGTCTAGTGTGTTGACAATGTCGTGAACATCCGGTTACAGAATAAAACAGTGTTATTCATTTTAAGTCACGCCATATAAATACTGATTTTATTCCTTACACTACCCAAGAAAAAGTTCTCAATAAAAACTAACCCTTTCTCTACCTTTTTAATAAATACACCTGACGCTAAAACCAATCTATTGAACCATTTTTCTAGAGATGATCACAATGTTTTCTCGGTCTTCTTCTAAGGTGCAGTTCTTGAAAGGTTCTCGATAGTTTTGATCGTTGTGTTCAGCCCTACGAAGGTTGTTTGTATAAATAACCTGAACATCACTGTGAACATTCAGCTATTAATATATATAACCACCACACACACACACACACACACACACACACACACACACGCACACGCACGCACGCACGCACGCACGCACCACACACACACACACCACACACACACACACACACACACACACACACACACACACACACACACAGTCTATATCACCCCTCTTTGTTAAATACCAATTGTCCGTTAATAACTGTGTAATATATACCTGGCTGCTAAATCTTCAGAACTGTTACAGTATGTGTATTTGTAAATTGTGTAATTTTCTTATTTGTGTTTTATTTTTATATTTTGTTATGCATGCCTTCTAGTTAACATTAAGCTTTCTTGACTCTTTTCTGTGTAACAATGAAAATGACCCCCTGCTGGACGAATAAAGGGATTCTGGATTCTGACAGAAATTAAATATATGCATTGTTTTCCCCCGGGTCATGTCACAGGCCCTCTGTAGCTTAAAGATTGTTCTAGAAACCTCTCTCCTCTTAACCTCTGACCTCCAGAGGTGGGAAGTAGTGGAGTACAAATACTTCTATCTGTACTTAAGCACATTTTTCTGGCATCAGTACTTTACTCCACTACTTATTTTTCTGACGACTTTTTACTTTTACATTTTGAACACAAATACCTGTACTTTCTACTTCTTACATGTTGAACACAAATACCTGTACTTTCTACTTCTCTCATTTGAACACAAATACCTGTACTTTCTACTTCTTACATGTTGAACACAAATACCTGTACTTTCTACTTCTTACATGTTGAACACAAATACCTGTACTTTCTACTTCTTACATGTTGAACACAAATACCTGTACTTTCTACTTCTTACATGTTGAACCCAAATACCTGTACTTTCTACTTCTCACATTTCCCAAACAGGCTGGTTCCTTTAGTTTGAATGTGTGTTGGTGGCGTGATCATTATTATTTAGAGTCATTGCGTGCCTATTGATTTGAACACGATCCGTGTATCCATCATTTCCTGGTCTTCTCTAAAGAAGAGGGACCAATGAAAACGTTGTCATGTTGCCGTTGTTCAGCATGGAAACATTCATTAGCTAACAATGACATTATTGTTCTCTTAATATAAAGGGAGGTCAGGTACTCTTTAAAACAGCTGCTAGTTATGGGTACTTTTTTACTGAAGTACATTTCAAAGCCCTCTTTACTTTTACTTGTAGTAAAGAAGTTTAGCCAGTACTTCTACTTTTACCAGAGTATTTTTAAACACGAGTATCTGTACTTTACTTGAGTAAAGGATGTGTGTACTTTTGCCCTCTTGCTGACCTCTGACCTTGACTTTGCCCCCTCAGGAGATCGAGTTCCTGCTGGTGAACTGGAGCGGTCCGGATCGGGTGGGTTTGGAGAACTTGTTCTGGAAGGTTCCTTTAAAGTCCAGCGGGTGAAGAAGGAGCGAGCGTTCTTCCTGTTCGACAAAATGCTGCTGATCGCCAAGAAGAGGGTGGGGCAGTTCGTCTACAGCACGCACATATTCGTACGTCCATTATCTCTTATCTACTTTACATTGTTTTACACAGAGGTGGGAAGTACATAGTACTGTGCTTAAGTACAATGTTG